TGGAACCAAGGGTCCATTGGGAGGTTGCGGGCCCTCATGGAACCATGGAGACCGATCTGACCATTTGGAACCCATTTGAACCAAGGGGCCATTGTGACACCTCTGGGCCTCATGGAATCAAGGGAACCAGAGCGACACTGTGGGGCTCCATGGGACAAAGGGGCCATTCTGACACTGTGGAACCAAGGAGACCATTGCTCTGCTGCAGGACATCATGGAACCATGGAGGCCATTTTTACGCTTTGAGGCCTTGTGAAACCAGAGGGCCATTGTGGCACTTTGTGTCCGTATGAAACCAAGGAGTCCATTGTGTCACTATGAGGCCCTGTTGGGCCAAAGGGCCATTGTGGCACTGTGTGGCACCATGGAAGCAAGGGACCATTGTGACACTACAGGGCCCCATGGAACTAAGGACTCATTGAACAATGTAGAACTCATGGAACCAGAGGTCCATTGTGACTTTGCAGGGCCTCATGGAACTAAGAGGAGGGAAAATTGTGACACTGTGGGGCCCAATGGAAGCAAGGGGCCAGTGTGACACAGCTGGGCCTCATGCAGCCAAGGGGCCACTGGGATCCTGGGGAGCCCAAAAGAACCAAGAGGCCATTTTCACACTCTGCAGCTGTGGAGACCCTGAGAGGCATTCCCTGTGTTAGAGAGAAACAAGAAGCTTCCCTCAAAAGCTGTGTGACCCCATTGGCTCCTTCCCCTTGTTCTGTGTCCCTCAGCCACTCCCTCCCCTTTCCCCCACTGGCCCCCATCTTTGTACTGCCCCCATGGCACTGATCAACCCCTTCCTTTGGAGGTACAGAAACCTGGACTCCTCTCAGGAGTCCTGCCTTGTGACCCTGAACATCTCACCGCACGGCTGAATTAAACATCTGTGGATTCCATGCAAAGGCCCTTTTTGCTTCCCTACCCTGGGCTTTATTAGCTGCTATTCCGGCTGCACCAATGGCCCGTTATGGCAGCGTGGATCCAAGGATACCATGGAGACACTGTGGGACCTCATGGATCCAGGGGGCCATTGTGACACTGAAGAACTTCATGGAACCCAGGGTCCGTTGTGACACAGCAGGGCCTCAGTGGAACAAAGAAACTGTTGCTGACAGTACAGAAACTCATGGAACCAAGGGGCTGTGTTGACACAGCAGGGCCACATGGAACCCAGGAGACCACTGACATTTAGGGACCTCGTGGAGCCAGGATCCATTGTGACACTGCAGAAACAAGGAGGCCATTGTTGATGCTATGGAAGCTCATGGAACCAAGTAGCCACTGTGACACTCCAGGGCCTCGTTGAACCAGGCAGACCATGGTGACACCACAGAACCTCATGACACTGAGGGGTTATTGTGACACAGGAGGGCCCATGGAGCCAATTGTCCATTGTGCCAATGTGGATTTGAGGAGACCATAGTTACAGAATGTAAGCTTATGGAACCATGGGTTTATTGTGACAAAACAAGGCCCTGTGGAACCAAGGAGACCATTGTGACATCATGGAACCTTTTGGAACCAAGGAGACCATTGTGACATCATGGAACCTCATGGAAGCAAGGGTCCATTGTTAGAGTCCAGAACCACGGAGACCATTGTGACAGTACAGAACCTCAAAGGACAACATTCCATTGTTATGCAGTGGGGCTTCATGGAACCAAGGAACCACTGTGACACAGCAGGGCCACATGGAACCAATGGTCCATGGAGATACTGCAGATCCAAGGAGACCATGGTGATGCTGTGGAACCTCGTGGAGCCACGGGGCCATTGTGACACTGTGGGGCTCCATGGAGCCAATTATTCATGGTGACACAGCAGGGATGCTTGTGACCAATTGTCCATTGTGACCCTGCAGATCCAAGAGACCAGGGTGACACTATGGCAGTTGACTGAACCAAGGGGCTGTTATGACACACCAAGGCCTTGTGGAATCAAGGAGAGCATTGTGGCAGTGCAGAACCAAGGAGGCCATTTTGACAGTACAGAACCCAATAGAACCAAGGGTCCATTGTTCTACAGCAGGGCCTCATGGAACCAAGAAGCCATTGTGAAGCTTTGGGGCACAATGGAGTCAAGGACACCACTGATACTGAAATCCACTGGATAGAAACTTCTGAACAGAGTTTTGAGTATTTGAAAGCAGGTATTCTTTATTACAACATGGTGGTCACTTGGGCCATCCTTCCTCCATTGGAGTGCATTAGGCATTGAATGATCAGAGATTTTATCACACACATTCATTCTGTATTGATGAGCTATCCCCACTTCCTTTGAGTTTATTTGACATAGTTGCACCCCTTATCACAAATCCTTTCATGGTTCTTTGGGTTTTGTCTTCAATATCCAGTGCCCTTTTTAGGTGGCTCTTCCTTGACTCCTCCTTTGAGTAATGGCAATATTATTATTTTGCATAACTTCTGTTGTGTTAGCCTTGCAGAGCTGTGCTGGCATCCTGCTTGTATTGTGTGTGACTTGTGTTTGCCAGAGGTGCATCCTCAATCAGTTTCTCCAAGGCTGAGCTGTTCTGTTCTACTGTCCTTGACAAGAGTAAATCTTGTTCTGGTCTCCTGTCCTTGTCTCAGTGCTCGCCCCGCACGAGGTGTCTGCAATTCCCCTAACCTATGGGCCTGGTGTGGGTAAGTGTTCCTGGGGAACAGGGATGGGACAGCTGGGCTGGACTGACCCAAGGGATGTTCCATTCCATGTCACACCATGATCAGTAATCAAATCGGGCGGGGGGAGGGGGACGAGGTGATTAGGAGATTAATTTCTTTTTTCAGATATTTTTCTTTCAAAACAGCACCTACACATACAGAATCCTCTCCTGCCAGAAGTTGGTTAAACATTTTCTGCTGATAGGAGATATCCTGTGAATTTGATTTTTTTCTATTTGTGGCTTTTTCTTTTTGTGGTTGGTTTGTTTGTGGGGATTTTGTGTTGTTGTGGGTGGGTCTTGCTTTGGTTTTTTTTGATTGGGTTTGGGGTTTTTATTTTTTGTTTGGGTTTGGGTTTTTCCCTATTGAACTGACTTTCTTCTGATGCATACGTTTTTTCTGCCCTTTATTGTGGCTTGCTTGGCACCTGATGGCAAGATAAATTTACCCAACTCAGTCACCTTGCCCAGTTATATTTTGCAGTCACCATTAACGAGATGAGTTCAGTCACAGACTCCCTGCAATCTGGCAGCATTCATAAAGGAATTGAAAGTACATTTCATGCCATTTTAGAGACACTAGAAATGTTCCACAGTGGTAGCCAAGGGCTGGTCACTGAGGGATGTCACCAGGGTGTGGCTGCCAAGAGGACTCTGTACCATGGATGACATTTGACCCTCATTGTTCAGCCAAATTCCCACCCAGCCCATGTTCCACTCCTTCAGCCCAGCCCTCTCCAGTCTGGCTCTGAGGAGACCACAGCAGACCTTGTCCCAGGCCTGGCTGAAGTCTGGGCACACAACATCCCCTTCTGTTCCCTCCCACGTGGGTTCTGCAGTCCCTGCCCTGTCCTGCTAGTGCCTGGAATGGCTGCAGGAGGATTTGCCACATCCCTTTCCCTGCTGAGCCTAACCAGGCTGTGACTCTCCCAGTTCCCCTCCCTGCCCTGTGTGCAGACTGGTTCCATGTCTGCCCTTCCCAAGTGCCCAGGACCGTCTGGGATGGCTCTGGCCTTTCCAAGGGGTTTGAGAGAGGTCCCACAGTGACGCTTCCCAGCCTTCTCAACAGCCCTTACACCAAAGGCCTTTTCCACATCCCTCAGTTCCACGTCAGTTCCCAGAACACATCACAGCCCTGTCCATGTCCCTGGGCTGTTTCAGAAGGGAGGCAGCTCTGATTTCTCTCCACAGACCCTCACTCTATCCAATGTCTCCCTGTGCAGTCCATGGCTGCCCTGAGCATTTTTCCCTGGAGCCTCTCTTCCTGGGATATTTCTCTCTATGCAGTCCTAACCACAACCCAGCAAAGAATTCAGGGGTTTTCCCAGAGGACGTTACTCTCAGAGTGAAGCGGCCTCAAGGTCCTGTTTGTGCCACTGGAATTGTGCCATCCCCGGGTGTTGCTGATGGTGTTTGTGCTCACTGGGGCTCATCTCCCCTCACACACACACGATGTACTGCTGCGATCTCCTCAGCACAGAGCAAACATGGCCTGCTGGCCTGGTCACTTGGTGTCCCTCCGTGCAGGGACAAACAACGTCCTGCAGATGGGGAGAGGCCAGTGCTGGCAATGGTGGTTGCAGGGGCTGGTGTGGGACAATTGCCCTGGGGCACCTTCCCAGGCTGTCCCAGAACAGAGACACAGCCCAGGCCCTGTTCTGCTGCTGCCCCAGGTCCATGTCAGGAGCTCTGGCTGTGCCAGGACACTGCTGTGAGCCCCCCCTGCACACTCCCCCCCCCGCCCCAGGCACTGGGCTTTGCTGTGCCAGGGCGTTCCTGGGGCACATTGCTGACAGCAGCTCTGGAGGGGAGCAAAGCCTCCCTGCCCTGCCCTCAGGAGATGCCCTTTGCTGCTGGAGCTGCTGTGCTGGAGCCCAGCTGTGTCCCAGCAGTGCCCATGGCCTGGCCCTGCCTGTGGCCACAGCAGGGACACACAGCAGGACAGTGACCAAGCTGCCAGAGCGCTCCGGCCTTACAGCCACAGCAGGGCTGGCAAGGACAGGGTGGATGTGGGAAGAGGCGGGGGCATTGTCCCTGGCTGTGCTGCTGCGCTGGGAATCGTTTCCCGCACCTCCGCTCACAGGCACTGCCCGTGCAGAGACAGGAAAGGGCTCAGGAAATGCCTTGGACAGACAAGTCAGGCAGGCACTTGTTTTTATTTAAACACCAAGGGAACAGACCACTTGCAAGTATTTTTATTTCAAAAGAAATGTAGATATTCATGTAAAAAGCTAAGAGTAACAATACAGTATTTTGATAGAAACACTACAAAAATAGAAAAAGTTACCATAGCAAAGAATAGACAAACAGGGAAAAAAAGGCTGAGATTGAAAAGAGTTATATTCTACAGGCTCTGTAGCAGAAAAGAGAATTTATTGGTTCTGAAGTTGCGGTCACCAGTTTTCCCAAGGCATCCTTGAGCTCCTGGTTCCTCAGGCTGTAGATGAGGGGGTTCAGGGCTGTAGGCACCAATGAGTACAGAACTGACACTGCCAGATCTAGGGATGGGGAGGAGATGGAGGGCGGCTTCAGGTAGGCAAAATAGGCAGTGCTGATGAACAGGGAGAGCACAGCCAGGTGAGGGAGGCAGGTGGAAAAGGCTTTGTGCCGCCCCTGCTCAGAGGGGATCCTCATCACAGCCCTGAAGATCTGCACATAGGAGAAAACAATGAACACAGAACAAGCAAAAAATAGAAGAGCACTTAGCACAAGAAGCCCAAGTTCCCTGAGGTAGGATTTGGAGCAGGAGAGCTTGAGGATCTGGGGCACCTCACAGAAGAACTGGCCCAGGGCATTGCCGTGGCACAGGGGCAGGGAAAATGTATTGGCTGTGTGCAGCACAGCGTGGAGAAAGGAACTGGCCCAGGCAGCTGCTGCCATGTGGGCACAAGCTCTGCTGCCCAGGAGGGTCCCGTAGTGCAGGGGTTTGCAGATGGACACATAGCGGTCATAGCACATGATGGTCAGGAGAGAAAACTCTGCTGACATGAAAAAGGCAAAGCAAAACACCTGTGCAGTGCATCCTAAATAGGAGATGGTGCTGGTGTCCCAGAGGGAATTGTGCATGGCTTTGGGGACAGTGGTGCAGATGGAGCCCAGGTCGCTGAGGGCCAGGTTGAGCAGGAAGAAGGACATGGGCGTGTGCAGGTGGTGGCCGCAGGCTACGGCGCTGATGATGAGGCCGTTGCCCAGGAGGGCAGCCAGGGAGATGGCCAGCAAGAGGCAGAAGTGCAGGAGCTGCAGCTGCCGCGTGTCTGCCAATGGCAGCAGGAGGAAGTGCCTGATGGAGCTGCTGTTGGACGTTCCTTCATTCTGGACATTTTGAGCTGTTCAAAGACAACATTGACAATTTGGACAAAGTACCTGGAGTACATCCTATGCTATTTTCTTTCACAGGCACTCAAAATTTCTTCTCTTTCTCTGGGGAAATTTCATTTACCTTTTTTTTTTTTTCAGTGTAGCTTTGGGCTACAAAGTAACTGTGTGCTTTTCAGAAGGGACAAAAGTCCTGTTCTTAACATTGCTCTCAGGCTGAACACTGGGGAGGCCAGATGGAAAACAGGGCTCCCTGTGCCCCAGTGCACTCAGACCTGCTGGGCCAACACAGGCGCCCTTTGCTCATTTCCCCTCGCTCTAGTACAGGATGTACCAATTAAAAACTGCTCTTTAAAATAACATGGCTTTTTTTGAAGACTCCAGTTTCAAAATCAATCTCTCCAACTCTTCTCTCTCTCCCTATGAAGCAGGACATGGAGGGAAGCAAAGGATTGGTCTGGCTCTCTGCTGCCTGGAGTTGTGCCTATTGGGAGCTGTTTTTCTTTACCCAAGCCTTGTCCCTGCCAATGCTGCCAGAGCCCAGCCCAGCCCTGGGGACTCAGCTCTGCCCTGCAGACACCTCCCAGCACAGGGAACTCCCCAGGGGCAGCTCCCTGACAGCAGGGCCTTAAGGGCAGGCCAGACAAACAGAGATGCTGCAAGCCAAGGAGCTGCTGCTGCTGTCTGTAGGGAGAGGAGGCTGAGAAGGCACTTTCTGAGGGTGATCTGAGGCCCATCTGCTGATGCCCAGGGTGACAGTGCCGGAGTCTCAGTGACACAGACACAGCTGACAGCCCCTTTCCCTTCCGTTTAGGAGAAAGCTGAGAGCAGCCCTGGCCATGCAGCACCATCTCCAGAGCAGGAGGAATCTGCCCTGATGGGGGTGGCTCCTTCCACCTCCAACTTCTTCCCTGCAGCGTCCATGGGGAGCTGCCAGGCAGGCTGAGAGCTGCCCCTGGAAGGTGGCACATGCCCTGGGCTGGCCAAGAGCCCTGAGGGCTGCAGGAGCTGCTCTGAAGGACAGCCCTGGGCAGCTCTGGCTGCAGCCTCAGCTTCAGCCCCTGCAGCCGTCCCTGGCAGCAGGAGCCGTCCTGCCCTGTCCCTCTGACAGTGCCCAGGGCAGCCCCGCTCTGCAGCACATCCTCCTCCTCCTCCTGCTCCTGTGCCAGAGAGAAACTGGGAGAGTCCTCCTGACACATCCCCCAGGCTGTGGGGTGTGCTGGCTTCAGGAGATCCCTCCAGGAGCACAGGGGACATTGCCCTGCACACACACACTCACCATGCACAGGGCTGTGAAGATGTTTCCCCAAGTGAAGTCTCAGCTCAATGTCTTCCCAATCCTGATTGCCTTCAGCTTGTCTCTGCCTGGCTCCTGTCCCCTCAGTGCCTGCAGGCAGAGCCCTCAGCCAGGCTGGGCTGGGACAGGAGCTGACCCTGGGAAGAGCTGTTCCCTTAAAGCTCAGCAGCCCAGACACAGCCGAATGACTTTAATGAGCCCCTCAGGGATTTGGTGTTGTTTACATCAGATCCAGTCCCTCAGAGAGTTTTCAAAAAACTTCTCAAGGATTCAAAGTTAAATTGAAATTCCAAAGTTTCTAAAAGTTTATTAAGTCTCTCTGAGAATGTGTCCCCTGGTTCCAGTTAGAGCAGAACACTGGAGGCAGTGATGACAGCTGGGGATAAAAAAGGCTAAGGTGTCTCTGCTGCTGAGCAAAGCTGGATGTGTTTGAGGAATGCCAAGGGCCAAGGCCTGAGCCCCAGCCCCTGGCCAGGCAGATGCTGTCCCTCCCTCTTTGCTCAGGGCTCTTGCTGGGCTGGGCACTGGCATGTGGGGATGTGCAATGGCAAGGGCAGGAGCATGGGGCGGCCTCTGCCAGGCTGCTGAGCAGGGACAAGGAGGCAATGAGGCCCTGGGCCTGAAAGGGTCACTTGTCTCCTGCTCCTGGCTTAGTGCTTTCCTTTTTATGGAAAAGAATCCTCCCTCCTTCCCAGGCACCCATTGTGGGAAAACAGGACTCCCATTCTACTAACCAGTATGATTAAGCAGAAGCCATTTATTGTTTACATTATGCACCTATTTATACATTCAAACCCCAATGCATGCACCAATCACACTCTTCTTCATTGGTGCCTCTGCGTTGTCCATGTGTCCTGCACTCACTTCTCAGAGTTTGTGATTGGTTACAGTCCAGGTGGTTCACAGCCTTCTGTTATCGAGTTCTTGTGGTCTTGGTATTCTGTTTCTCAGCCTTTTCATTCTTCATTTAGCACAGTTTCTGTCTTAGTAACCTTGATTAATTCCAGATGGCTCTGATAAGAATAACTAAAAGTGGTATGGCTGGTGCACAGTGTGGCCCAAGTTGTTTAGATACATTGCTACAATTTCCCCTTCTTCATCTTGCATCACCCAAATCCTTTTCACTGTATTTTCTGCCAAGCGGGTCACAAATTTCACTATGCTGGAATAGCACAAAGCAATATAATAATAACTACTAGTAATAACAAAGCTCCCTTTAAGATATCTTTCAATCATCCAGTTATTACCCATTCCTCAAACCATTCATCCAAGCCCAAATCATTCAGAGTCAATTTCTTCATGTTGTCTTGTAGTTGTTTGAGTTTCCTGTGAATGGAAAGAGGAGGTTCATAAAACACATTCCTTCAAAATTCTCACACCTGTGTCCATGTGCTAACAGCAAAAAATCTGTAGCAGCTCTATTTTGCAGTGTGCCATGTCTAATACTATCTACATCAGTGAGCATTTGGTTTAAAATAGCTGAACTTGTGTTCAGTGTGGGACTCCACAAAATCAGAGGGTTTTGGGGAAGCTGCACAAGGCAGGCCTCAGAGACAGCAGAACTGTGGTTAGAGGTAATCAGTAGCCATGAGATAGGTCAGCAGAAGAATTATTTAAAAAGTAGAAAAGTAAGAACAAATAGAACAATGGTCTGTGTATTAATGCTTGTCTAGAATACCTTCCTAAGCTACAGAAAAGTTTATCTAGCAAGATATTAGGAAGTTTGAAGCTTAATAATGGAGCTCTGTGCATTGTGTTTTAAGGCTCACAAGCAGGTATTGTATTCAAAATAGGCAAGCATTGTTTTAACCAAAGGTACATGTGCTTATAGTGGTTGGAATGAACTGCTGTCAATGTGCTTTTGCTTTCTGTGATTGGTCAAAAAACTTATAAAGTAAGTTATAACATTAAGTTCTTGGTCAGCTGCTTGGGATGTGGGCTGCTGGCATCTTCCTATTGTCATACCCATGTAATGAGACTGATGCTGAGAAATAAAACAGCTCAAGGCACGTTCCACAGCAGTCCCTTCCCATTTGTGATTTGTACATAGGCCCCAGCTGGCGATATCATCCACATCATCAATAAAGAGATTTCACTGACCTGGCCCCAATCCTGAGCCCTGGGGACACCCCTGGATGTGACTCCATTCCTCAGCTGCTCTCAGTGCCAGGGGCTGGATGAGGGAAATGGTGGGGTGCGGGTAGGGACAAAGTGTGATTGATTGTCAGCCATGAAGGGTCTTGATTTTCATAGGTGTTCAGTCTGCATGAGGAGGTGCTGGGGATCAATATTAACTCAGGACTGCTGATACCAATCTATAAACAGGAAAAGAAAACTAAACAGGACAAAACAATTCTCTATTCATTGTTTTCAATATAGTAGGTTCACTTTGAAAACACTTCTGACATCTGTCTAACCGCAGAAGAACTGAAGATTTGAATTATTCCAATGAGCTTGTCTTGCTTGGGTGTTTTGAACAAATGTTAATCAGCTTTTCTCGCTGAATTTCTGAACTGAAGAGATCAAGAAAAAAGAGGCCTCTGGAAAAGCAAAATTCGTCACCAACTGTTGGGAAGGATGAAAGTTTGACAAGAAAGTCCCACACATCTGTATGCTTAGCAGAAAGATTTTTAAATGTAGAATCTGAAGAAGGAATAGAAATGAAAGCAAGTTTTGATATGGAAGAAAATAATTTTTGAACCAGTCTTACTGGCTAACCAAGGAGGCAAAGGGTATGTTAGTTAGAAGGGGTTTTTATGGCTTAGAGCAAAGGATAAACCCACCTCAATATCCCTGGACACTGGAAATTTTGGAGATGGAATCATGGTTTGGTCATGGATGTTTCAATGAGAAGAACAGTTCTTTTCCATTTGAAGGAAAGCCCAGAGCCCCAGGGTTTCAGGGGTACATGAGAAGAGACCCTCGACATGCTAAGGGCAGTTGGACCAGTCAGTCCAAGCCAACCAGACCTCTTCCCTGTTCCCTTGGATTCATGGGACCCTGCAGTGTCACAGTGGTGGTGTCATATTGGATCCTTGCTTCCATGAGGCCCAGATGTGTCACACTGGCCTCTTGTTTCCATGGGGCTCCAGTGTCACAATGGTCCCTGGCTTCCATGAGGCCTTGCAGTGTCACAGGGGTCTCCTTGGTGCTGCAGTGTCACAATGGACCCTTGGTTCCATGGGGACTCACAATGTCAGAAGGGTCTGCTTGGTTCCATGAGGCCCTGCAGAGCCCCTTGATTCCACGAGGCCTCCAAATGTCATCATGGCCTCCAGGATTCCATGAGGCCCGACAATGTCACAATGGA